ACACACACACACACACACGCACATACACACTACCTACACACCCACTAGTCACCCGCAGGACGCCCCCACGTACACACACACATCATCTCTCTCCTCACCAAAGATGCGTCTTTCAGATCTCAGTAAGTGCTTCCTTCACCACTCTTGTATTTACCCAGTTGTTGTAGCCGAGGAGAAGGAAGGGGGTCGAATCATAGCTCCTGGCCCTTGCCCTTGCCCTTGCTAAGTAATTTTTTTAGATAATGACTGAAATACTACGTACTTAACTTACCTGTTGTCACAAAAGTGCAAAAAAACCATACCCCCGGCCGGGATTGAACCCGCGGTCATAGAGTCTCAAAACTCCAGCCCGTCGCAAAATTTTCCATAAATTCTTACTGTAATTATCCACCTTCTCCAGTACTTATTCCTGATATTCTCGGGAATTTGTTTTTATGCAAATCTTCTGGTTCTTCCCAAGTCTCGACCCAAAGAAGAAAATACACTCACCATCACTCAGTCAATAACCGTCTGATGATAGGTCATATCTTCCCTCCCTAAACCTTTTAAACTTGCTAATACGGAAGCTTAGTTATAACCCTATGTTAACTCTCTCTAGGAGTACTGGTGGTGATAGTTGGGCTCTGTCTCCTGGTCGACCTCGTCCTCTCTAAACCAGGTAACTTTTAACTCAAACATCATTAGAATTAGATTCACCACAACAGTACCTAACTTCGGTATTGCAAAAAAGGACAATTGAACCCGGATATAACGTTCAAATTTGCTTTGAAGAAATAATTGATTATAACAAGAATGTTACATAAATTATGAACCAACATATGTATTAGCATCCTAGCTACTATCATCCTAGCTACTATCATCCTAGCTACTATCATCCTAGCTACTATCATCCTAGCTACTACCATCCTAGCTACTATCATCCTAGCTACTATCATCCTAGCTACTACCATCCTAGCTACTATCATCCTAGCTACTACAATCCTAGCTACTACCATCCTAGCTACTATCATCCTAGCTACTACCATCCTAGCTACTACCATCCTAGCTACTGTCATCCTAGCTACTACCATCCTAGCTACTACCATCCTAGCTACTATCATCCTAGCTACTACCATCCTAGCTACTATCATCCTAGCTACTACCATCCTAGCTACTACCATCCTAGCTACTACCATCATAGCTACTACCATCCTAGCTACTACCATCCTAGCTACTATCATTCTAGCTACTACCATCCTAGCTACTATTATCCTAGCTACTACCATCCTAGCTACTATCATCCTACCTACTACCATCCTAGCTACTATCATCCTAGCTATTACCATCCTAGCTACTATCATCCTAGCTACTACCATCCTAGCTACTATCATCCTAGCTACTACCATCCTAGCTATCATTCTAGCTACTACCATCCTAGCTACTATCATGCTAGCTACTATCATCCTAGCTACTACCATCCTAGCTATCATTCTAGCTACTACCATCCTAGCTACTATCATGCTAGCTACTATCATCCTAGCTACCACCATCCTAGCTACTACCCTCCTAGCTACTACCATCTTAGCTACTACCATCCTAGCTACTATCATGCTAGCTACTATCATCCTAGCTACTACCATCCTAGCTACTATCATCCTACCTACTACCATCCTAGCTACTATCATCCTAGCTATTACCATCCTAGCTACTATCATCCTAGCTACTACTATCCTAGTACTATCATCCTAGCTACTACCATCCTAGCTATCATTCTAGCTACTACCATCCTAGCTACTATCATGCTAGCTACTATCATCCTAGCTAACTACTCATCCTAGCTACTACCTCCTAGCTACTACCACTCTAGCTACTACATCCTAGCTACTACCCTCCTAGTTACTACATCACTACTACCATACTACTACCACCTATTCTAGCTACTACTCTACTACCACTACTACTACTACTATCCTAGCTACTACCTACTACTACCACTACTACTACCTCCTACTACTATCATCCACTACTACTCACTACTACTACTACTACTACTACACTACTACTACTTACTACCTCCTAGCTACTACCACTACTACACTACTACTACACTACTACAATTACTACACTACTACTACTACTACTACTACCACCTACTACTACTACTACTACTACTACTACTACTACTACTACCACTATCTTACTACTACTACTACATACCACTACTACTACTACTACTACACCACTACTACTACTACTACTACCACTACTACTATACTACCACTACTTACTACTACTACTACACTACACACTACTACACTACTACACTACTACTACTACTACTACTACTACCACTACTACTACTAACTACTACTACTACACTACTACTCACTACTACTACTACTACTACTACTACATACTACACTACACTACTACTACTACTACTACTACTACTACTACTACCACTACTCTATCTACCTACTACTACTACTACTACACTACTACTACTACCACTACTAACACTACTACTACCACAATACTACACTACTACTACTACTACTACTACTACTAACCACACTACACTACTACAACTACTACTACAACCACTACTACTACTACTACTACCACTACTACTACTTCTACTACTACTACTACTACTACTACTACCACTACTACTACTACTACTACTACTACTACTACTACTACTACTACTACGCACACACACACTAAACACACATCTTCCACCTCCTGCAATGTGATAATTTCAACACAGCTGTTAATTAACATTGGTAACTCTCCCACTAACCTCTGGTCTGGTTTCCACGGATCAAGAAGCCAGACGACCTGCCAAGAAGAAGTCACGACCCATCATAAGAGTACGACCCAGAAGACGATACGGTTATCACTATGGTGGAGGCTGGAGCACCAATGTCCTTCACAACATTGTGGAAGTCAAACCTTTCTTCATGTGAGAATACAAGATTTTGTCTTCGTCTCCTCCTCTATTGTATTAAGTTTGTATTCGCTCTATTCCTCTACTATTGTATTTGTATTGCTCTTATGTAATGCCTATTCAGCTACTGTACAATATACGTTATTCGTTATTCCTAATTTGTTGACGTTTCGGTCGACTTCAGATTCCCAGGCGCTATCCTACCGAAGGAGATGATGACAGATGCGACCTTTACTATACTAGCACCACCAGCACTGCTAGCACCACCAGCACCACTAGCACCACCAGCACCACTAGTACCACCAGCACTACTAGCACCACCAGCACCACTAGCACCACCAGCACTACTAGCACTACCAGCACTACTAGCACCACCGGCAACACCAGCACTACCAGCACCACCAGTATTACTAGCACCACCAGCACTTCCAGCATTATCAGTATCAGAATTATCCGCACCACCAACACTACCACCACCATCAGCACTATCTGTACCACCAGCATCACCAGAATTACAAGTAGCACCAGTCGTCACCACCCTTCAGTTGTCACCAACACCGCCAGTGGTAATAACACCAGTGGTATACACCACCACCAACAACCACCACCACCACCACTCTCCCTATTAACCACTACAACAATCACCACCACCACTATCCCAGGCACCCACTACAACAATCACCACCACCAGTCTCCCTAGCAACCACCACAACAATCACCACACTGTATAATACAACCGATACAACAACAAATCTCACCAAATATAAAACAGAACTCGAGAATAAATGTAAAGAACAAGAAAATAATAAAGAAAATAAATATAGTGGAACCAGCAATGTTATGCACTAATTTTTCAGCTGACTGAATCCTGGAGTGTGATAAATGGTTTAAAAAAAAGACAAGTCGAATATTGAGACACTTATGAAACCACACAGTGGCTTCATCAGTCCAATACAAAGCAGAAAGCTGCATGGAGAGGAGGAGTTTGAGGTAATCAGTCCCTCAACCTGGAGCCGATGTGTTCAGTCCATCAGTCTTGTAGAATGTACAGCATAGGGCCGTAGACGTGGCTTATATACTGTAGTGAGGTGAGGCGAAGCAGGCGGAGGCGGGGTCGTAGTGGTACCATCCACTAGTCGAAGTAGGTCTTCGTCCGAAGGTTGGACAAGTGTTGAAGAATTCTTTGTATCAAGATCTCATGATGCTGCAGTGTCTGACAGTGTCTGCTTTGTATTGGACTGATGAAGTCACTGTGTGGCGAAACATTTCCTCAATAAAGATTCCCATATGTTGCATAAGTGCCTCAATCTTCAACCTAGAGTGAACCTTGATAAGTGAGACACTTGTCCAACAGTGGCTATCTTTATTCTGGGAACGTTTTTCCCTCCAGTGGGAACGTTTCTCCCTCCAGTGGCTTCCTCAATCCAACAAGAATAAAAAGGTACAATACCCTGACTGGAACATTACACAAATAACCCGCCCGTAGGAGAGAGAAACTTACCACCAGGTTTCCATCCGATTTGGACCATTTACAAGGTGCAAAATGGGGAGAAGTTGGAGGTACACAGTCCCTGAACTCCTCATCTTCCACCTTTCTCTGCAGTGGACTGAAGAAAACGAAACGTTACAAGAATATAGATACCTGTCAACTTGTGGGGTTTCTAACCCATTTATCCAGAAAGTGATCGCCAGCTTGTGGGGTTTCTAACCCATTTATCCACTAAATGATCACCATCTTGTGGGTTTCCAGCCCATTTATCCAGTAAATGATCACCATCTTGTGGGTTCCTAACCCATTTATCCACTAAATGATCACCAACTTGTGGGTTTCTAACCCATTTATCCAATAAATGATCACCATCTTGTGGGTTCCTAACCCATTTATCCACTAAATGATCACCATCTTGTGGGTTTCTAACCCATTTATCCACTAAATGATCACCATCTTGTGGGTTTCTAACCCATTTATCCACTAAATGATCACCATCTTGTGGGTTCCTAACCCATTTATCCACTAAATGATCACCATCTTGTGGGTTTCTAACCCATTTATCCAATAAGTTATGGTAAAAACTATTGAAGACTAATTCTGAGAGGAAGTACAACCCAAAATGAAAAAAATCATATAAGAAATACTATCTCAACGTGTCTGATAAAATTTGTATAATATTCTAGCCTCGTTAAAATCTGTTTTATAACGAATTCTCCATTAATCGTATTTTAACAATGTTAGTAAAGTGTCTACCACATAATGTTAAATTTTATTTCCTTAACAAGAGCAGTTTGACATGCTGAGACCCACAGTGTGTCATCTCTAAGACATGAAGGAGGTCTACAATGTATCATCTCTAAGACATGAAGGAGGTCTACAATGTATCATCTCTAAGACATGAAGGAGGTCTACAATGTATCATCTCTAAGACATGAGGGATGTCTACAATGTATCATCTCTAAGACATGAGGGATGTCTACAATGCATCATCTCTAAGACATGAAGGAGGTCTACAATGTATCATCTCTAAGACATGAAGGAGGTCTACAATGTATCATCTCTAAGACATGAAGGAGGTCTACAATGTATCATCTCTAAGACATGAAGGAGGTCTACAATGCATCATCTCTAAGACATGAGGGATGTCTACAATGCATCATCTCTAAGACATGAGGGATGTCTACAATGCATCATCTCTAAGACATGAAGGAGGTCTACAATGTATCATCTCTAAGACATGAAGGCCTACAATGCATCATCTCTAAGACATGAAGGAGGTCTACAATGCATCATCTCTAAGACATGAGGGATGTCTACAGTGCATCATCTCTAAGACATGAAGGAGGTCTACAGTGCATCATCTCTAAGACATGAAGGAGGTCTACAATGCATCATCTCTAAGACATGAAGGAGGTCTACAATGCATCATCTCTAAGACATGAAGGAGGTCTACAGTGCATCATCTCTAAGACATGAAGGAGGTCTACAGTGCATCATCTCTAAGACATGAAGGAGGTCTACAATGCATCATCTCTAAGACATGAAGGAGGTCTACAATGCATCATCTCTAAGACATGAAGGAGGTCTACAGTGCATCATCTCTAAGACATGAAGGAGGTCTACAATGTATCATCTCTAAGACATGAAGGAGGTCTACAATGCATCATCTCTAAGACATGAAGGAGGTCTACAGTGCATCATCTCTAAGACATGAAGGAGGTCTACAATGTATCATCTCTAAGACATGAAGGAGGTCTACAGTGCATCATCTCTAAGACATGAAGGAGGTCTACAATGCATCATCTCTAAGACATGAAGGAGGTCTACAGTGCATCATCTCTAAGACATGAAGGAGGTCTACAATGTATCATCTCTAAGACATGAAGGAGGTCTACAGTGCATCATCTCTAAGACATGAAGGAGGTCTACAATGTATCATCTCTAAGACATGAAGGAGGTCTACAGTGCATCATCTCTAAGACATGAAGGAGGTCTACAATGCATCATCTCTAAGACATGTTGGATGTCCTTATCATACACAGATGTGAGTGACATGTGTACACTGCTGGCAAGACAACAATTAGATGAATGATGGTGCATGTGTTTCCTTTATTAGTGTCACCATACCTCAGCGGGAGACCGTTGATGTAGTGAAGACAACGATTGATGTATAGAAGTGATTGATGTGTACAAGTGATTGATGTGTACAAGTGATTGATGTGTACAAGTGATTGATGTGTACAAGTGATTGATGTGTACAAGTGATTGATGTATGCAAGTGATTGATGTATACAAGTGATTGATGTGTACAAGTGATTGATGTATACAAGTGATTGATGTGTACAAGTGATTGATGTGTACAAGTGATTGATGTGTACAAGTGATTGATGTGTACAAGTGATTGATGTATGCAAGTGATTGATGTATACAAGTGATTGATGTGTATAAGTGATTGATGTATACAAGTGATTGATGTGTACAAGTGATGATGTGTACAAGTGATTGATGTGTACAAGTGATTGATGTGTACAAGTGATTGATGTGTACAAGTGATTGATGTATGCAAGTGATTGATGTATACAAGTGATTGATGTGTATAAGTGATTGATGTATACAAGTGATTGATGTGTACAAGTGATTGATGTGTACAAGTGATTGATGTGTACAAGTGATTGATGTGTACAAGTGATTGATGTGTACAAGTGATTGATGTATGCAAGTGATTGATGTATACAAGTGATTGATGTGTATAAGTGATTGATGTATACAAGTGATTGATGTGTACAAGTGATTGATGTGTACAAGTGATTGATGTGTACAAGTGATTGATGTGTACAAGTGATTGATGTGTACAAGTGACTGATGTGTACAAGTGATTGATGTGTATAAGTGATTGATGTATACAAGTGATTGATGTGTACAAGTGATTGATGTGTACAAGTGATTGATGTGTACAAGTGATTGATGTGTACAAGCGATTGATGTATACAAGTGATTGATGTGTACAAGTGATTGATGTGTACGATTGATGCGTACAAGTGATTGATGTGTACAAGTGATTGATGTATGCAAGTGATTG